GTTCAGGTTTACTAAGATTCTAGTAATAGAATATCAGTGGTTCAGGTTTACTAAGATGCTCTAGTAATAGTATATCATTGGTTCAGGTTTACTAAGATACTCTAGTAATAGAATATCATTGGTTCAGGTTTATTAAGATGCTCTAGTATTAGAATATCATTGGTTCAGGTTTACTAAAATACTCCAGTACAATAGAATATCATTGGTTCAGGTTTGCTAAGATACTTTAGTATAAGAATATCATTGGTTCAAGTTTAACTGTAAGATTTATCTGTGTTTAAGTAAAAAGAGTTCTGTGTGAGAGAGACATAATGTTTTACACACATTTTAGTAATTTATCTTGGGCAGGGAGTGGATTGCAGCATGTATACAGAAAACTCCTAAAATAAAGACAAAATAAATACTGAAAGGGATTGGTTTCGTTGTTTTGACTGTGTTAAGGAGAAAGGATGATGGATACTTTTATATCTTAGAATTGAGATAAGATATTCATGTGCATAACTTACATTGAAACACGGCATTATAGGTATTTATCTAGCTTTATTATGCCCTATTTGCAAAATGCAAGATTTTTGTGCCGAATTTCCTTACATCCAAAAACAACAACAAAAAATGTTTAAAAGTTGTCTAAGGAATTTATAAAGAAAATGAAAATAACTATTTGCTATTCTTATATCTTTCTATCTATTTATAAACATTGAACCCCCAGTGGAACAAAGTGTGGGAATTATAAAAGGTTTGTCTAAAGTAGCAATTCTACAAATTAGACTAATTTTCTCAAGCACACTTATCCTTTCTTCTCTTTTGTTCATTCTTATTTAAACATCTTTTATCCTTCAGAAGAGTTCACTAAAGGATTGTAAGCGTAATTTCAAGTTGCATTTCCAATTCACAGTGATACCCTTAATAGCTTTGTGAATGTAGAATCCAAGAACAAAATTGTTATCAGTTTTCGATAGAAGGATACAGTTAAAACTGCTTAGGATCCTCAAGATTTTGGCTTACTGGATCCGGATCCGCAAAAATATCCGGATCCAAGGGGTAAAATATCAACCAAAAACTGCAAAATAAAATTTTTACTCCTAAAACCCAAATCTGAATTTTTGAAAAAAAAATTTGAATGGTTCATTAAGTTTTAGGATAAAAATTAGCGAAATTTTTCAAATTTTTTGTTAACCAGATCAGTAAATCTTAAAGAAGTGACCTGAATCCGGATCCGGATCCATTTTTTTCCAGTGCGGATCCAGGATCCGGATCCGTATCAAAATTAAATGGATCCTAAGCACTGATTAAAAAAATAAAAAAGTATTTAAACAGTATTAAAAAGCTAACAGAAGAGAAAATAAAATTAAGGTTGGAGCGTTTATTCATTAATACTTAAAACACAAAAAACAAGACAAAAAATATGAAAAATTGAGAGAATTGCGTAGACCTGAATTGCGTAGACCTGAATTGCGTAGACCTAAATTGCGTAGACCTGAATTGCGTAGACCTGAATTGCGTAGACCTGAATTGCGTAGACCTGAATTGCGTAGACCTGAATTGCGTAGACCTGAATTGCGTAGACCTTAATTGCATAGACCTGAATTGCGTAGACCTAAATTATTGATTAAAAATATTGGACCCTAATTTAGAACTCCACTTAATCTGTTAATTTCTGGATTTCCCCTTATTACCAATGTTTTAATTTGGACAAAATGTCCTGACGGGATAAAGGAATTCAGTCTTTCCCACAAACTCTAAATTTCTTATCCCTATAGTTTTACACCCCAATGTGGTAGAACTTAATCAAATAATCTTAGTTTGAAATATCAAAGCCCAAAGGTATAGGCTATCAGGCTGCAAATATATAGGGATTAGACAATTTGAGCTTGTGTTAAGTACTTAATTTTCAACACTCAGTGTTAGTGGTGTTAATTACTTGTTTAGAACTATTTCCCCCCTGTACTTGCAAATTGCAAATTGCATGCAAATTGCAAATCTCTATGATGACGTATTTTTTGTTTATTTGAATTTTTTCTTTGAATTTTAATTGCTATGTCTGGCTTATATACATCAATATAAACACAGATTAAAACTGTCAATGTTATCAACATATTAAACATAATTTAAGAATTTTTAAAAGTAAACATTAAAATCTGTTAAAACATGCAGAACAGGCATTATTTAAAGGGGTTGATCAGTTTTCATGAATTTTGATCAAAAAATATATCCAAATTGATATTTTACTTTTTTGTAGCCTTAGAAAGGTTCATTTTAGAACAATGCGTCACTTGTTTTCGTGATAGCTTTGAACCCTGTAAAACGAACTTTAGCTTGAATTGTCTTTGTAAATATATTTTTTGTACATTCCTTATCAGAAAGACCTTGAATTAATTTACAATTAATCAGACGACTTTACAATCTAACTTTACAAATATGATTCACAAAAGACGTCAGATTAACTGTCAAATAATTCCGGGTATGAATGATTATGACTGTATATGTATTGGTGGATTTCTAATTTTAAGAAGGTGTTCATAAAGCTAATAGACCCTTTAGTAGAAATTAAATTTAATATTTAATATTTTAAAGAACATAAAATGTGCGATATTTTTTTTATAAATAAAGTGTAACTGATATCTGTAAATAATCCAATTATACCGTATTAGATATCATCCGAAATTTAAATTATACTCATAGTCAATTCTGCTGCAAACTAGACAGATAGTCAATTCTGCTGCAAACTAGACAGATAGTCAATTCTGCTGCAAACTAGACAGATAGTCAATTATGCTGTAAACTAGACAGATAGTCAATTCTGCTGCAAACTAGACAGATAGTCAATTCTGCTGCAAACTAGATAGATAGTCAATTCTGCTGCAAACTAGACAGAAAGTAAATTCTGCTGCAAACTAGACAGATAGCCAATTCTGCTGCAAACTAGACAGATAGTCTATTCTGCTGCAAACTAGACAGATAGTCAGTTCTGCTGCGTACTAGACAGATAGTAAATTCTGCTGCAAACTAGACAGATAGTCAATTCTGCTGCAAACTTGACAGATAGTCTATTCTGCTACATACTAGACAGATAGTCAATTCTGCTGCAAACTAGACAGATAGTTAATTCTGCTGCAAGCTAGATAGATAGTCAGTTCTGCTACAAACTAGACAGATAGCCAATTCTGCTGGAAACTAGACAGATAGTCAATTCTGCTGCAAACTAGACAGATAGTCAATTCTGCTGCAAACTAGACAGATAGTCAATTCTGCAGCAAACTATACAGATAGTCAATTCTGCTGCAAACTAGACAGATTGTCAATTCTACTGCAAACTAGACAGATAGTCAGTTATGCTGCAAACTAGACAGGTAGTCAATTCTGCTGCATACTAGACAGATAGTCAATTCTGCTGCAAACTAGACAGATAGTCAATTCTGCTGCAAACTAGATAGATAGTCAGTTCTGCTGCAAACTAGACAGATAGCCAATTCTGCTGGAAACTAGACAGATAGTCAATTCTGCTGCAAACTAGACAGATAGTCAATTCTGCTGCAAACTAGATAGATAGTCAGTTCTGCTGCAGGAGAAGCTGTTAAATATTTTCAACCCAACATCGTGAACCTTATTTCAAATTATGCATTCTGTTTGCTCAAATAATCCAAGTTTGATGAGGTTGCAAAGATATAGAGATTACAATGTTCTAGTTATGTGGCAAAGTCTTAATACCTTTAATACTTAATACTTAATACCAGCACTGACAAGAAGGTTAAGTCGGGTGCAAACCCGTGCTAATGGTAGATGTTAAAGTCTACTACAGTCAAGGAGAATACGTACACATTGCTACCTTTGCTGAATTAATATTAATTTATAAGTTCAATAAATCCATTCCTGAAAATGTTTTGATTATTTGATTATTTGAGTGCTAATTAAGTATCATACTTGTAAATGCACAAGGGATATATATTCAGTTGGGATTTTAACATGAATAGTTTCAAAACAAATACCGATCAAATAATTTTATTGAACATAATATTTTTAATTGGCTCATATTAAATTTTCTTTTCTAATTCATTTTTACCAAAACCATTATACAGTATTATTTTCTATTTTGTGTTTAAAAATAAAGACTATAACTATAACTACATATAGATTTCTACATATTGAATAAAATTACTTGTGACTTTGTGACCTCATGGCTCGTCTAGCTTTGATTTTACTCTAAACTATAAAAGAAGTATCCGGTTACAAAATTTAGGATCCAAATTTATCCAGTTACAAAATCTAGGATCAAAATGTATCCAGTTACAAAATCTAAAATCAAAATTTATCCGGTTACAAAAACTAGGATCAAAATTTATCCGGTTACTAAATCTAGGATCAAAATTTATCTGGTTACAAAAACTAGGATCAAAATTTATCCGGTTGAAAAATCTAGGAAAAAAATTTATCAGGTTACAAATCTAGGATCAAAATTTTTCAGGTTACAAAATCTAGGATCAAAATTTATCTGGTTACAAATCTAGGATCAATATTTATCCGGTTACAAAAACTAGGATCAAATTTATCCGGTTACAATATCTAGGATCAAAATTTATCCGGTTACAAAACCTAGGATTAAAATTTATCCGGTTACAAAATCTAGGATCAAAATTTATCCGGTTACAAAAACTAGGATCAAATTTATCCGGTTACAAAACCTAGGATCAAAATTCATCCGGTCACAAAATCTAGGATCAAAATTTGTTTATTCTTCTCAATAAATGTTTAATTTGATGAAAAAAGGGTGAGGAAGAAAGGGTGACTTGGGGGGGTGGATGGGGAGAGATGGGGGTCTGATAAATATAAAGACAGTTTAGCAGTTTCATAATTTTCACCAGTCGCGTTGATTATCGATCACACCTTGTTGATCTCACAAAATCATGTAAATTCAGAATTAAGGAATCTATTCATCATTCATATTTTTACAAAACATTTTTAAACCCCCAATTGCATTTTTTCAACCCAGGAATCAATTTAAAATTTATAGACTTTGAAAAATAGCAGTTTATTAATGCCAGTTATACATTTTTCAGTAAAATACACAATTTTTCAAGCTTTTGGCCTCAGAACATTTTCTTTGTAACTTCCATAACTCAATCCTAAAAAAAATAACAGCATATTAATAATTTACAAAAAATACCTACTGAAATTAAACCTCTAATTATTCTTAGAATCTCAGGGGGGAAAATCAAACTGAAAGCTTTTTAAAAAGTTTTTTTTAATGTTATCAAATGTTTTTAATGTTATCAAATGTTTTTAATGTTATCAAATGTTTTTTTTAATGTTATCAAATGTTTTTAATGTTATCAAATGTTTTTAATGTTATCAAATGTTTATAAAGGGAGCATCAAAAAGTGTACGTATGCTGCTGCCAGTTAAGATCACCTTCTTGCCTAAATCTTTTCATGTTGGGAATCTAGTGTTAGGTACTTTAAGGCTTCCGTCTGCAACTGGGGCCGAGAGCTGAGGCTAGAATGGGCCACGGCCGAGGGTTGTTGCTAAGATACATTTGGGAAATTGCCCATTTGGGAAGTTGCTACTTGGGAAAATAACCTTGGGAAATTGCCGCTTGGGAAAATGTCTTTGGGAAAGTAGCTAAGAACGGGGCACTATAGTTTCAGTTGAGTGGATATTTCCATATACTGAAACCGCCAATTGAAGGATTTATAAATCTGATTGGATAATGAGCTAGATAGAAAGATAGATGTTACCGCAATTCTATTGGTTCAGAATAGACAACAAACACATGACTAAACCCTGATTGGATCAAGCGCTACTAGACTCGGCATACAGGAGTGGGGTTTTACCTCTTGGATTATATGCTGTAACTACGAACCATTGTCCATTCTAAACAACAGTCATTGTATTTTAAATCAAAAAATAAACTAATCACCCCACTCTCCTTGCATGATTACTTTCAACGTTTTTGACTTTATTACTTTTTAAGAAATTTAATTAAAGGTAAAAATAAATTTTGAGTTTTTTAAAAATATTTTTTAAAAATATTATCAAAAGTCTATGACATATATTTGGTTGCAAAAGTGTAGGGGGAATAAACAACCTGAGATTGTGACAAAGACTAAATATTTTTATCCTATTTAGTTGTTTTGTATTAAATTATTTATATTCATGTTTTAAAATACAATGATTTTTTCCTTTTGCGTTACACCAACACCTAGCTCAGTAGTTTTCTTCCAAATGATCTGAGCAAACTGACCTAAATATCAGATCACGTCAATCTAAAGGAAATTTCACTTTAGACTAAAATCATTTATTTGTCATATCTCCTCTTATTGAAGAGTTATTGAGAAGGATAAAATGTTTTGAATTTTTATATGTAACCGCTTAAATTTGCTCTTTTCAAATTTGTGCATCAGATCAAAACTTGTAATTCGAACCAGTAATATTGCATAAATTGACATTCTACTTCTACAGAGATAACCAGAAAACTCTGATAATGAAGACGACTTTCAGACTTAAGATATGACTTTAAATGGTCCAATTAGCATGGTATGCAGCAATTGTACAGTTTAAACAGACCCATTTAACTTAATTAGTGATTTAATAACTTTTTAGTAAGGCTATTTGCTTTTTAACATCATTTAAGTATTGCTATAAAGCCGTCTTCCTATTTCATAGTTTTCTGGTTATCACTGTAGACTAATTGTCAGCTTTGCAATTTTATGTTTTAAGTTTCAAAAAAGCCTTTCTATTACTAATAAAGTCCAAAAATTCATAGTTTTATTTTTACCTATTTTCTTTTTTTCATCTTTTGATACTTCTTTTGGCTCGCCTCCAAAAAAGTTTTTATAATATTGTATTCCATTGTACCAACTCTAAAAAGACAAAAATTAATCTTTGCACTGTGAACGGTAATCTAAATATGCTTTTCTAGAAAGTTTGTTTGTATCAAATAAATTTTGATTTTTGAACAACAACCACAAAAAATATAGATAATTCTGAGAATTTTTTTTGTTATTCTTTCAGAATTTAATAAGAGTGTTTGCCGTAGATAGAGCAACAATTAAAAGTTAAAATCAAAGATGGACGCGAAGCACCCTGTTAGTTATTTATGTACAGGGTGTCCCACATCATATTAGATCGTCAATCGGTCTAAATTACGATTTTCGGGACTAATCAGAAAATTTAAGAAGAATGAATCATCATTTTGAAAAATTGATTTTAAGGCTAATAAGAATCTTCTTGCGAAAAATACAAGGGTTTTCGGGTATTTTAAGTTTATTTTGGCGTTACATGGAGATAATCTAATATGATATGGGACGCTCTGTACATTAATGTGAGTATTACCTCCACAACTTGTTTAGCTGACAGTGGTCCCTCTCCTTTATACACATTTTCTCCATAAAAAGTACCACTGCAAAAAAAAACGTACTTTTTGAAAGTTTTTTTCTTACCAGCGCCTCGCCATGTAAAGTTAGGGTCTAATTTCTTTTTGAATAACTAGGAATAATTGGACTATTGACATGTTTCATACTATAACCCTCAACTTTAAGAGCAATATAATAGGGGGAGATGGGACCATACCCCCCCCCACCTTTATAAAATAAAAATTGCCCAAACAGGATAGGGTTAAGGTTACCTAGGTCTGAGGTTGGATACTTCTCCTACAGAAAAATGAGCACGTAGCATCATCTGAAAATTAAAACTTAATTTTATTTTCATTAAATAGACGAATTTCATGTGCTCGATCTACTACAGAACCCCCTTTAAACTGCTATCTTATAATCAATAAGGTCAAAGAAATAGTCGTTTTTCTAGCGTGTATAACAAATTCTCTCAATTTCCGATCATTGTTCCTGTAACAATAAATCCGCAAGTCACATGTATAGAGAAACTGCAACCGAAAATAATCAATAAGTATAAATTAGTTATTTTTAGTTCAGACAACAGTTTCATTATAGTTTCAGTAGAAGTAAATATTTTCATTTACTGTTAGCGCCGATTGAAGGATTCATAACTTTAATTGGATAATGAGATAGATAGAAAGATAGATGCTACCGCTATACTATTTCTATTGGTTCAGAATAGACAACAAACACATGACTGAACCTTGATTGTATCAGGCGCTAATGGACTCGGCATACAGGAGTGGTTTAAAGGGTATACCGTTGTGTTTCACACATGCCCCTCTATCAATGGAGATTATTAAAGTATGTTTATCGGTCCCATTGATGTTGAAATTAACTGTTTACCGTCTCCGTAAGTTTAAGTGGTGGAACTCCATGTAGTTTCCTGTACTTGTTATGCTCATCTAAAACCTCCTGGGCAAATTTCATCTAAAAAAAATTCGATCAGCTTTCTGAAATTTGAAAACTTGTACTTGCCTTTGTACATTGATTTAATGAAATAATATTCAAATGTAATAATCCCCATACCTTTGCAACCTGATGGTATAAACCTTTGATATTTTAGACTTAGAATGTTTTATCTAACAAAATTTATGGTTCAAAATATTCAAGGTCTACGACTTTGAGCTGAAAAGATATAAGGATTAGAAAATCAGAGTTTGTGGCAATGACTCAATTCCTTTGAATGTTTTAAGAAATTTATGAAATGTCTTACATTAAGACCCATGGCTCTTTTCACTCGTCTACATGAAAAACATAAATTACAGTGATAACTAGAAAACTCTGGAATAGGAAGACGACTTTTAAGCTTAATTTATGACTTTAGATAGTCCAATGGGAAACAGAAATTATTCATTGTAAACAGACCCATTTCACTTGATTTGTGATTTAATAAGTGCCTAGTAAAATTATTTGCTTTATAACAACATCAAGTACATTTCCATATATTGTCGTCTTCCTATTTCCATATATTGTTGTCTTCCTATTTCCATATATAGTCGTCTTCCTATTTCGATATATATATGTAGTCGTCTTCCTATTTACGAGTTTTCTGGTTATGACTGTATATAGATTTTAAAGATATAATATAGTATTACAAATTAAAAAATACTAAAGAATTCACACAGCCTAGTCAAAAAATAACTTAATTAGAACCTGTGATTTAAAAGTTTTCGCTCGAGTCTTAATTCCTAAAGGAGTTAGTACCAATGCACCTTAAATCTGAAAGCTCAAGACAATAAGTCTCAAGGACAGCTGAGATCTGAGTGCTAATTTATTCAACCATGGGCTCTAGAAGCTTGTTGTTCAAACTTTATTCTAAATAATCAACTAATTGTCATTGTAATTTCAAATGACACCATAGTTTCAGTAGAAGTAAATATTTCCATGTACTGCTATAGCGCCAATATAGGGATTTATCTCTAATTGGATAATGAGCTAGATAGAAAGATAGACATTACCCTCCATGCAATTTCTATTGGTTCAGAATATACACCAAACACATGGCTGAACCCTGATTGGATCAGGCGCTAATGGACTCGGCATACTAGAGTGATGACCACCAATTAAACCTTTTTGTATGGTGGACCGTGGTAGCCAGAACTTCGGGAAACCCATTTTTGGCTCTCTGTAAAAAGTTATATTTGATTTTATTTAATTTTGAATTATGTTCAAAAAAAAGTTTGCAGAATTACCCTGTAAACCTTAATTTATGATAATCTTGGGAATCCAGCTTTGTCTAGAAACAACACTTCCTCTTTAAACATTTAAACATCCCTAAATTTAGAAATGTGCCCACCATGAGCTATGATTATTCTCGTGGTTCTCCCGAGTATTAATTCAAAATTTAAAGCAAATCGGTCAAGGGGTTCTTGATTTATGATAGGATTTAAACACTAATAGACGGACACACAGAAAAACAGAGATTACTACTTTATAAATGTATAAAAGTACTAGAGAAAATATTTTAGTTTTTTATCTTTAAAAACAAAGTAAAAGAAAGGAGTTCTGTCAATTGCCTTCTTTTTCTCTTGTACATAAATTTGGAAAAGTACAAGACACCACAATTAAAAATTATCAATTTTCAGGAGGATTTTAAAAGATTTTCCCCAGACGTAGATTTAGAAGCGATATTTTTCGGTTCATTTTTGCCATAAATTTTCACCTTGGAGAACAAATTTGCATGTTTGATAAAAGGAAACTTCTGCAGATTAAAGTTTTAAAATGTTGGAACCTTCTCATATTGTTGTTAAACCTGTTAAAAGTCTAAATACATAAAACTTTTCTGTAAAACGAATCTGACTCTTGCCCATCCCTATTTGCAACAGACTCAAATTTCCTAATCCCTTCATATTTGCAACCTGATGGTTTCATAGTTTGAAATATCTAAGGTTTATGGCATTGAGTTGCAAAGATATGGGAATCAGAAAATCTGAGTTTGTGGCAAAAAAGTTAGAAAATACTTACAAAATAGAATCAATACTTTCAGCTGAATCTGAAGAGGAGTTGGATTCTAAAGTATTAGAGCTCTCGACTCCAAGAATCATTAAACCAAGGATAACAACTGCGATCATCTAAAAAAATTAAAAATAGAAATCAATATTTTTTCAAAATTAAATTAAATCAATTATAAAACTTTTACGTTTTAAATGTTAATGATTTTAAAATTATTTATTAATATTAATTATTATTATTATTCTTTACTATTAATATAATACCTTGTCTTACCGGAAAGATTGGAACTGAATTTTAAAACAAATTTTCTAAAATCCAAAAAAAAACATCTGGAGTCATAAAACTTTTGATCTTTATCAATAAATGTCATTAATAAAATTTTATTTCAGAACTGTTTTATTGATTAAAAAAGATGTATCATTTAAACATAAACATCTAAATTATAGGAATAGCAGTAGCACATCTAAGTGCCACAAAAAAATACCAAAGCATGGTGATCAGGACATAGCTATCCAGCTCCTGTCCTAGTTGGCTGATCAGGACATAGCTATCCAGCTCCTGTCCTAGTTGGCTGTGATGTATACAGAGCTCCTGTCCTAGTTGGCTGTGATGTATACAGAGCTCCTGTCCAGGTTGGCTGTGATGTATAGAGTGCTCCTGTCCTAGTTGGCTGTGATGTATACAGTTAACATTGTCGAATAATTCACCCTTTTAGTTCACTTGGTATCATTGAGTACACAGGGTTTGCCGTATTGAATTCTGTATTGAGTAAAATTTAGGAATTTTTAAATCTTTTCAAATGAATATTATTTTTGCTTTGCTTAATTTTTTCTATTTATTTATATTGCGACAGTAGTAAGAATTACTGTTTGTCATTTTTTTTTAATTAACTGAGTCCCCTCCGCTGGAGCGTAGGCCACCGGAGGGAAATTGTTTTCAGTGGAGGGAATGCACAATTGTGACTTAATACTATAAATTACTCTACAGGAGGGATAATTATTAACACTCAGGACACTAATTACTCCTCAATTGTGCTTTCCCTCCGCTGAAAAAATTTCCCTCTCGTGGCCTCCGCTCCAGCGGAGGGGACCCAATATGCTGCTGCAAACTTCAATCTCTCCCATTTCACACACTATTTTTTCTGAAATCTATTAGTTACAATCAGATAATGATATTCAGGCAGGGAAAAATTAAAATAAGAATAAAATAGTAGATTCTGCAGATTATCATCGATTTCACTAGTTCTAAAGGTAGAAGGGTCTGAATGTACGTTTAGACTTCTGGGGGGAGGAGTATAATAGAAACATGCCCCAACGGGTGCTGAGCCCCCCCCCCCCCATGGACAAATTACTGAACACGCCCCTGTTATTGATTCACAATACATGTTTATTTGTTTTATTCACAGACTACACAGTACAGACTGCTCATACACTCTACCTGGAAAGGCTGAGCAGGCCTATAGTGTCCCGGCACGTCATGCTACGGTTTCATGTAATGTTTTTTGACTGACATCTCACGGCCATTTGTTGCATTCAGGGGTTGAGTTTTACAACTTTTAAAGAAATACTCCAATTTTAAACATAAAACATAACGTGTATGAATATTGTCTATTTTTTAATATTTTGCATTTCCTTTTCAAAGGATCCTTAAATATCCCTGAATACAGATGTCTCCTGATTGGCTGTGTACAGTACTTGTAGTGTACACAATAGAACATGCTGTGGAAAATATTGCATATAGGTGTTAATCGATCTCTGTAACTCTCTTATCTCTGGTTTTAGTTATGTATCCCGAAAAATGTCTATGCTCAGAATTTCTTCTAAAATCTTGGGGCTTACATCTTCCAATCATAAGATTCCTCTCAGATTGTTCCGCAAATCTACCGACATCGGCCACACTAAACCTCAGTAAGGAGTTGAGTCTTTGCCACAAATTCAAACTTTATAACAACTATACCTGTGCAACCTGATGGTGTAAACTCTTGATATTTCAAATTTAGATTATTTGATCTGACAGAATTTTTAGTTGGAAATATCTAAGGTCTACGACACTGGGTTGCAAAGATATAGGAATTTAAAAATCAAAGCTTGTTGCAAAGAATCATTTTCTTTTTAAATATTTAACTCAATTTTCTCAGGATTATATGTTGACTTCATAACTTTTGAATACCAGACATTAATACCAAAAATGGCCATCCTAGAGTTTCTCGAAAATGAATTAATGAAGAAAATTAACAATTTAACCTGTTAAACATTGGATTCCTTAAAAATGTTGTTCATTTCCCCCCCTTCAGCCATTTAAGAGTGAATGTTATATTTCTAGAAATAGTATACGTTTCTAGAAAAAAAAATAACCACTATATAACACATTAATTTCACTAGAAGGGGATCATTCATTTGGTGTACAGTCCCGTTTTGCCTCATGTAGTCTGTATTTGTACTGTACTGCTTGCCCTTGCTAGTTTAAATAGTTTAAATTCGGCCCAGTACATGAATTCAACTGGAATGTACCGTGAATATAGAAACCAGTTGCCACAAAAAATAACTAAGTCAGTATAGAGGACGTGAGTCAGACTCTAATAAAACGCATAAATAACTTCCAGTATATATATTTCTTATAACTTATTACTAGAGGGTTCAGAACTAGAGTCAATATCGATATCGCACGTGTAGACTGTAGAGATGATATCAGTACTTATGCCCCGTATCCGTTCTATCTCATTCTGTTAAATCTTGTGGAACTAGTTTAACGCGGCCAGGCATCGTCTTCCACATCAGTTTATTTATGATTTCATATTCATATTTTTTACATTTTTTAGATTTCTCATTTGATTGTGATGACTTTTATTTGAAATAAACTTTTAATAAATTTACAACTTTTTGCAAGGTGTAAAAATCACCAAAAATAAAATTGATTTATGATTTAACAAAAAAAGACTTTTATTACTTTTGCCGTAAAAATATTTTATTCTAGAAATAAAAAAATTCATGATATTTTGTCCATATAAGAAAATTAGTTTCAGATTTTTATAAAGAGTGTTGCTAGAAAGCAAGGTAGTGTAACTTATTTAAATTTTCTAAAAATGTTTTTTGATAAATATAAATATAATAATTTTTTCCACTGGGGGCGCCTGGGACAGTAAGTATAAAAGCCTCGTTTTCAAACTTACTTAAATCTAAAAAATGTGGTAGAGAAAATAGAGTCAATAGCAAAATTTTCAAAAAAAAACATTTCAATTTTAATTCTTTTAAATTGGCATTGGTGGAAGTAATATTTGAAAATTCATTGCAGAAGAAAAAAAATCAAGCTTTTATTTTGGCATCCTGGTGTTGAGGTTTAAACATTTTTCAGAACATTTTATAACCTTTTTTGGAACATGGTATTATGAAATTGAGATTTTCAGAAATTTTTAAATTTTTATTTTAAAAGTATGTAATGTAAGGATTTAAAAGGATTTAAAAATGTTCAGGATATTGAATAAAAGTACAACCCTCTTTGAAGAAATGGCAATTTTAAAAAAACGTCTATTTGATGAGCGTTTTCGTTACGTTTATTTATCTCACTTTTTAAGTTTAATGAACGTCTTGAAAAAACGTTCAATAAGCATACACAATTATCTTAAACCTGATCTTTTTGTTTATTTTTTATGACATACATAAAAAACAATTCTTAGCTATTTGTATGTCCTTGAAATCTTCATTAAATGATTCTTGGATAAAGTATCTTTTGTTAACGAACTTTATATACTTAAAAACGAACAAAATTCTGTATTAAAGATGGTGTTGGTCAGAAAACTAACAATTTAGAATTGTTTATGATCGTTGCATGGCACTTTCTTTCAGATGTTTAAAGAACGATTTTTCAATTTTTCAATCGTTCACGAACGGTTAATTTTTTTTGGAAAACCAACGATTTTACTGAATTGATTACACTGAGCCACAGATTTTAATGTGCGAACATGATTCACTGTATCACGTTCAGTTAAAAAGACATCAAAATAGAAGGAAAATATACGATTCAGCTTAAAAACCTTTTCAAATCTTTATTAAACGACTAAAAAAATGGGTCGTTCAGGAACGTTTAACTAACGAATAAAAAAACTAACCCTAGCATCTCTTCCTCATTTTTCCATTAATAATAATGTTTTAGATGATGTTAGTTTTTATGCTTGGGTTTCTGATTCTTGGAGTTCAAAGCTATGGTCCTATGAGCCAACTCCTTAACCTAACATCTGAGTAAGAATCAACAATATCAATCAATCAATGAGAACATAATTTTAACGCCAAATTTAATATTTAGTTCCAATGATGATATGTACATTTCAAGGTTGCCAATGGAGGGTCAATCTCTTTTGTAAGTATAATCTTTATACAGATACAGTTTTACATTCAATATTGTTAACATAAAAATAATTTGTTTTCATCTGCAGGCGAGTTAGAAGAGGAAGTGTGGACGTAAGATCTTACTTTTATTTTAAAATATAACACTGTATTTCCTTAGGCCTAAGCCTAACTTAATATTCTTGTGGGATGACGTATTCGTCCATAAAGAAGTACAACGTATGTTTACATACAGTACACAAAACTGCATGTAGTACGTTGCTTACATTCTTATTAAAGGAATGGAATTTCAGTTACAAGGTAGAAGCGTCATTTGACAGTATATCGTAAACTTTATTGTAAACATACTGTCTAATGAACCTATACCTTAGTAATGTTTTTTTAAATCAAAAATACTTAAAAGGAAGCTCGGTTTTGGCTTGTGGAAATACAGTGGTATTATATAAACTTGAATTGTACCGGTACAAGGATATCTAGTTTTTACCGTACCGGCCCGTTTAGTATGTATGCCCAGTATGTGTTACAACAATTTTTGTCTGACTAAGTACAGATTATTTATCAATGTTTTTCTTTTTAAAAATTTATTATTTTCAGTTTTCTTGCCTTTCTAAACGACTTGCATTCTTTTAAAACAATTAAAGAAATATCATTTATATATAAATTTGGCTTGTCTGTCTGTTTGTTTGGGTGTCTGTCTGTTTGTTTGTATCCAATAAACGTCATAACGGCTAAACCGATCGTGCCCAAATTTTTTGTGGGACATCACGTGACCACAGGGAAGGTTTATGAATGATAAAAATAAAAAAATGTGTTTTAAAGGTTTTTAATTTTGTAAAAAATTTAAATAATTGAAAATCCGCGATTTTTTTTTTAAAAAATCCGCAACATTTTTTTCTTCTTTGTTTTAAAATGTAAACAAAAAGAACATGTTCACAATTTAAATGGAAGATGGGCGCAAAGCGCCTTAAAAGTCTAGTAATGATATACATTTCAAGCTTAAAAAATTGATTATTGATCAGATCACTATAGTTTTAGTAGAGGTAAATATTTGAATTTACTGATATCGCCTATTGAAGGATTCATATCTTTTATTTGATCTTGAGATATATAGAAAGATATACTGAACCCTGATTGGATCAGGCGTTAATGGACTCGGCATACAGGAGTGAGAAAATGGTTTTAAGGATACCGTCACTTGAATTTACAATGACAGAATTTTTCATGTTCTAGTAAATGCCAAATTTTATAAAAAATAATCAATGAAAAATAATTAATTTCAGATGAGGTTTGCCAAGGAGGTTCTAGATGAACACAACAAGTACAGAAGAATGCATGGAGTTCCACCCCTTACACTAAGTACATCGGTAAAATTTCATAAGTCTATCAAACTAATTAAGAAGTTAAAGGGAGTGTTCGCGAAAAAATGAAAGGGGGTATAGGCTTACGGCGAAAAATAAGTGCTTTTGATCGCTGCTAATCTTACTTTTATCTGTTGGGTCTAAAAGGAGAAAATTGTTACAGACGACTTATACTGAAGAACGTAGCGTCCATACAAAATTCAGAAAGTTGCAATAGACGACTCGTATCGTAAAATAATCAATTTAATTTCAAATAATCATTCAGATATTACAAACTATAGTCATCGATTATTTTTCGACGCATTTTTAACCCCGAACACTCCCTTTAAAAAAATGTTAACGTAATTTCAAGAGGGTGGCATGTGTTTAGTTCTCAACGCCGGTATCCTGAAAAGCTTTTTCTAATCAAATATGAATTAAATATTCAAGTTTTGTTTTTGAAACCTGATTAATTCCAATTTCTCAACAAAAGTGACTTTCGCATTTCTTGCATCAGAAATAATGGAGAAATTATTAGAATTTATTACTTACCAGTTCCACGTTTTTGATCAGATAAATGTTTTAAGGGTACCGTTGTAAATCGGGCAAGTAATCTTTAAATGGAGGGTTAAATAAACTAAGACTTCACTTACACCCACTTTTAGACAATTTTAAAACGTCAATTTTATTAGATGTGCAATAAAGCTCAAAACTATGCGGATAAACTGACTAGTATTGGATGGCTAAAACATAGGTAACTTTTAACATAAAACATGCAGTAGAAAGTGATTATATCAATACAATGAAGACGACTTTCGCTTTTATATCCAGCTGTTAAACGGAAAAGATACACATAAACATAGAATTCAAGAAAAACTGCCTATCAAAAAGTTTCTCTTTTAATGCCTGTAAACTTGTAATTCGAAAAAAGATTTGTTAACAATCCAAACATCAAGCAAAATTCGTCTTCATTGTATTGATATAATCGCCTACCACTGTTTGAAAATCTGAAGTGGCCCGTAGATTTGTAAATAATTATAGCAAATCACCTGATATTAACATTGGTCAAAAATTTACATATGTCAATTATTTGTAAAAGAAATGATGTTGATTTAATCTTAAAAATCGTATTTTTTAAAAGGTATTTTTTAATTTTTTTATTTTTAGTGGGCCTGGAGAAAATTTGTCTCAACGAGGGGTATCCCCATCTGGGAAAGAAATTGTGTCGGTAAACATAAGAAATTATTTTAGAGATTTCGTTTACTAGTTTATATTAGGAATTGAGTCTTTGCCACAAACTTTGCCACCCAATGTCGTCTTCCTGAATATTTCTTGCTAATGACCTGTGTTAAATCAAATCATCTAAGTTTGAAATATCAAAGGTTTACACTATAGTCCCAAAAAAAGAATAAATTTGAGTTTGTGGCAAATACCAAATTCCTTCAAAAAAAATCCGGTTACAACTATTAACCCTATTTAGCCACTTTTATATTTATACATGTATTAAAAATAAAATTTAAATGATTTTATAAAGCAGCTTAATATTATAATGTTTTTTTATCTATGTTTTAATCTATTTATTTTGTTTAGGCCTGGTATAATGAGATAAGTTCTTATAAAAACTATTTTGGAAAGGAACCCCCAAGTGGACTATTACTATCATATGGTAAAAAACATTTTAAGACTTAGACTATAATAAAGTGTAGATCTTTTATATTTTAACTTAGCTTTTTTCCTCTGGCAAGGTTTATATTGAAGTTTGTGGAAAGACTAAATTCCTTTATCATCAAAACAATTATTTCTAAAAATGTATAGCAAAAATGTCAGTGCCATTTGATTAAAAACATTCTATTTCTGTTTAGGTCACTTCACTCAAGTAGTTTGGAAGGGATCTAGAGAACTTGGTGTCGGTTTAGCTAAAAAGGAAAATAAAATTGCATTTTTTAAAAGAAACCTTCATATTGAGTAATGGGTTATTTATGTATGATCTAAAGGTTCAGCTACATTTTGCCTAGTCACAATTTGCCTAGTCACATATTGCCTAGTCACAACTTGCCTAGTTCACTTTTGCCTTGGTAACTTTTTGCCTAGTAACATTTTTCCTGGGGTAACATTTTGCCTAGGTAACGCAAGACCATGTTTTTTGCCTATTGTTTTTTTTAAACAAAGAAATTGAGTCTTTGCCACAAACTCTGATTCTCTAACTATTATATCTTTGCAACCAAATGTTGTAGACCTTTGATATTTCAAACTATTAATTCTGCTAGAGCTTTTAATCTAAGTTAAAAATATTAAAGATGTACACCATCAGGTTTGATTTGAGTTTGTTGCAAAGACTCAAATCCTTTTGTCAACAATTTAACATTTTTTTAAAGCTTATCCAGTTAAATTTTAATGAATTAAATGTTATAGGACAATTGGATTGTATCTTCTCCTCCAATTTTAACCTTCCTATAACTCTACAAAAGATAAAATATGGTTACATATCAGATATATATATATATATTTAATTACAGTTTACACCATGGAGTATACATAGGTATACCTACAGGTTATATCTTTATTTATCATTATTTATCTTATTTCTCAATCACAGCCTTTTCTGTAGATATCCAGTAGATATCCTCGTTGTTAGGGTTGCAGTGCAAGATCACCGCCATTTCTTGGTCTCTGCCCTCTACCCATTGAAAACATAGGAGAAGTTATTTTTATCCATGCAGTTGGGCTTATCCCGCATGGTAAGCCCTGCAGTTATCATGGGAGCCATTTTCAATGTGTCTCTCCTTCTGATTGGTTTATAGAAAATTGAATTATTTTCCAAAATTTGCGAATTTTTGCCAAAAAGTTGCGGATTTTTGAAAAAAAAATCTCGGATTGTTGAAAATTTTTTTGTGAAAAAATTATTGACTAGGCAAAAAATTCGCTCTTTTGTTACTCTAGGAAAAATGTTACCCTAGGCAAAATGTTATTAGGCAAAATGTTACCTGGGCAAACTGTTACCTAGGCAAAATGTGACTAGGCAAGTTATAACTAGGCAAAATGTGACTAAGCAAAATGTAGCTGAGCCGATCTAAACAATCATTCTAATTACAATAATTGCTTTTGAAGTCGAGGTAAACTTTATATAAAATGATCAAAGAAACATAAAATGATCAGAGAAACATAAAATGATCAGGGAAACATAAAATGATCAGGGAAACATAAAATGATCAAAGAAACATAAAATGATCAGGAAAACATAAAATGATCAAAGAAACATAAAATGATCAGAGAAACATAAAAAGATCAAAGAAACATAAAATGATCAGGGAAACATAAAATGATCAGAGAAACATAAAATGATCAAAGAAACATAAATGATCAAAGAAACATAAAATGATCAGAGAAACATAAAATGATCAGGGAAACATAAAATGATCAGGGAAACATAAAATGATCAGGGAAACATAAAATGATCAGAGAAACATAAAATGATCAGAGAAACATAAAATGATCAGGGAAACATAAAATGCTATTTACAGCTTTTAGCTGAAGAACACCTGGGCTATAAAAAGTATAAAGTGGATTTCACTATAATGGGGTTGTACGTTATGTACGGTATGTACGTTATGCACGTTATGTACGTTATGTATGTACCTCATGTGAGTTATGTACGTTACTAGCCTTAGATGGCGCTTAGCGCCCGTCTTCTAAATTAATTGTGAACATGTTCTCTTTGCGTACATCGTAAAACAAAACAAAAATAATTCGCGGATTTTCACAAAAAATTTCGTGGATTTTCAAAATTTTCAAAAATTTAATGAAGATCAAATTTTGATGGAGACAAATATTTGAAATTTTGATCATTCATAAACCTTCCCTGGGGTCCCTAGATGTCCCACAAAAAATTTGGGCCCGATCGGTTCAGCCGTTTTGACGTTTATTGGATACAAACAGACAAACAAACAAACAAACAGACAGACAAGCCAAATTTATATATAGATGTACGCTATGTACGTTATGTACGTTATGCACGTTATGTATGTACGTTATGAAATGTAAAAATAAAAAATGTAATTTAAAAGAATGGAAAATCGTATGTGGTCGCTCAATATAATCCCCCAGGTGAATAATAATAATTATAAATTGAATTAAAACTGCTTTTATTTTCATGCCAATAACATAAACTTAATTTTAATATAAAAATTGTTGTATATCAAAGAATATCAAAACAAATAACCCTTTGTTTGATGATATATTTCACAGAAGGTTACCATTGTCTTGCTTTTGTTAAAGGAACTAAGTGTTTGTCACAAAGTCTGATGTTTTAATCCCTATATCTCTGCAATCCGATGTGATTAGATATTTCAAACTATGAATTCTGTGAGGTCAAATATTCTAAGTTTCAAATATCAAAGGTTTATGCCATAAGGTTACAATGATAGGGATTAGAAAATTTATTTTGTGGCAAAAACTCCATTTTTTTCAATAAAATAGAAATGTATTGATATTCATTTTCATTTTGAAACAAATGCCCCGTAATTTGTTTTGAATTAAAAAATAACTATTAATGTTTAGGAAACATGAGGACAGACTATGCAAATAATGTTCCAAGGGCAAAAGCCTAATTACACGTGATGGATTGATTAGAGATTTGAAAACACTTAATTGGAATAAATAAAATATTACTTTCAATCATATTTTTCTATTTCTTTAAACCATGAAATGCTTTATCCCTCCACATAGTTGTTTCGCCTTTTTTTAATGCTATGGGTAGGTTTCAGCCCGCACAGTACGGTAAAAAGGTCGGTCCGTTTAAAAATAAAATCTAAAATAGCCCAGAACTTTTTTTGTTCATATCTAAAAACTAAATTTTTAACGCCATTAAAAATGAATGTGTCACAAAAAGTTTTCTTTTTAACATTTTTCCGACTGTTTTTTGACATTTTTTCCCAACCTCCCCTAGCACCCAAACTTTAAAAATTAGCGGTCAAATTTGTTCAATGCGACAAATTATAATTTTAATAATTTGTTTACGTCTTGTCATGAAACGATTATATTTCATATTTTTATTCAACTACAAAGCATAAAATATTTCAAATAAGCAATCGCAATGCAGTCTGGACCCGCCTGACCAGGGTAGGTTGTTTTGATAGTTCAGGGGGAACTATATTGCAGGAGCTTTCTAGATTTTGTGTGAAACCTCGATTCCTTTTTAGTGAATTGTCCCTTTAAGGTTGTAAATAAACGAAGATTAAAGAAGTAACCAATTTCTTTAAATTTTCACGAACGCTCCCTTTCAGTTGCAATACCCATTATCTTACATACACTGGACTTGATGAAATGCAAATCAATAAATAGTCGGGTTGGTTTGCTGAATATAAACATTTAACAAGCTATACTTAGACACAAGATACATAGGGTTTCCCAATAAACATGAGAATACAAGATAGGAAATGTCATAGATAAACATTTCATAGATAAACATTTCATAGATAAAACAGTTCATAGATAGGACATTTCATTGATAAAACATTTCATAGACAGGGCATTTCAAAGACAGGACTTTTCATAGAAAGGACATTGCATTGACAGGGCATTTCATAGATAGCCTAGGCTATTTCATAGATTGGACTTTTCATGGATAGAACATTTCATAGAAAAGACTTTTCATAGACAGGACATTGCATAGACAAGACATTTCATAGACAGGACATTTCATAGACAGGACATTGCATAGATAGGACAATGCATAGACAGGACATTTCATAAAAAAGGATATTTCATAGATAGGACATTTCATAGACAGGACATTTCATAGATAGGACATTGCATAGACAGGACATTTCATAGATAGGACATTTCATAGATAGGACATTTCATAGACAGGACATTTCATAGGACATTTCATAGATAGGACATTTCATAGATAGGACATTTCATAGACAGGACATTTCATTGACAGGACATTTCATGAGCACTGTTCTATTCTCGACCTCCTTTTAAAATTAATGAACCTTCCCTTTTTTGAATAAAGTTTTGAAGGTTTCATACCTTCAGTATATCTCAGGTGTTTGAATATTTCATTGACTTCAATTCCAGTAATTTATTATTTAAGAATATGTCAGAATATACTTTAAACTTGTAGCATTCAATTCAAGAATTCAACCACACACATTCTTCCCTATCGAACACATTTTCATTATAGCGAGATAATTTTACGTTTAAAGGGAGTGTTCGCGAAAAATGAAAGGGGGTATAGGCTTGCGGTGAAAAATAAGCGCTTTTGATTGCTACTAATATTACTTCTATCTGTCTATAAGGAGAAAATTGTTAAAAACGACTCATGCTGAAGAACGTAGTGTCCATACAAATTTAGTAAGATGCAACATTCAACTCGGATCGTAAACAAATCAATTTAATTCCAAACAAATCATTCAGATATTACAAACAATAGTCATCGATTATTTTTCGACGCATTCGTAAATAGTTGATGTTTCATAATATTTTGTATTTTTCATGATCTGAGAGCTACTTCTGAAAACATTTATTCCTGTTTCGAGGATATTTGATATTTGAGGATAATTTCATATTTTCCGGGAATGGTCAAAAATCCAGCGCCAGTGAAAATTATTTTTTTTTAAAATCAAAAATATTATGAAATATTAACTATATACGAATGCGTCGAAAAAAATCGATGGCTATTGTTTGTAATATCTGAATGATTTGTTTGGAATTAAATTGATTTGTTTACGATCCGAGTTGAATGTTGCATCTTTCTGAATTTGTATGGACGCTGCGTCCTTCTATGTGAGTCGTTTTTAACAATTTTCTCCTTAAATAGACGCAAAAGGTAGAAGTAAGATTAGTAGCGATCAAAAGCGCTTATTTTTCGCCGTAAACCTATACCCCTTTTCATTTTTAGTGACCACTCCCTTTAACTATTTTTTACAAACCTTATTTTATTCGGAGTATCGAACAATTTGAACACAAATATTTCTAACATTTCAAACAAAATGTTCGTCATTTTAAACTGCTTTTGGTAAGTTCGAAATTGCGGGAAAAAAGTTAGGATTTCTGCAAAAGTTTCAATTATTGCATGAGTAAGATTATAAGTTTTTGAATGGCATTTTATGCCTGTGGGTGAATTTAATGAATTTGAGTTTTGTCGCTGAACTATCATCTTCCGGTTCAAATTTGAACCACCGAATCAAAACAAAAGTGTAGGGAATAATTTGAATCGGTGATATAAAGAAATTGAGGTTTTGCAACAAACTCTGATTTTCTAATTCCCGTATCTTTGCACCCCAATATCGTAGACCTTAGATATTCCAAACAATAAATTCTGTTTGATCAAATTATTATAGTTTGAAATATCATACAGTGGTAAGCGATAATATCAATACAATAAAGACGACTTTTCATCTAATTTTAATTGTTCACAACCTTTTTTTGAATTAAAAGTTTACAAGTAATCAAAGAGAAGCTTTTTTAATTGAAAGCATCTCTTTTAATTATATGTTTAAGTGTATCAATGCTGTTAATGAGCTTGATCTAAATAAAAATTGAAATCAAAAGTCGTCTTCATTGTATTGATAAAATCGCCTACCACCGTAGATGTACTTAATGATATTTCATGTACATTGTACATACTTAGCAGATGTATGGTTTACATGCTTTTTACAACTCTCCAATGTTTTCTATCTTAAAGAAACTGTAACGTAATTTCAAGTGATCCTCCATTCAAAGATGGCAATGCCAACTTCACAACTGAACCCCTGAAACAGTGATCAGATCAAAAATGTGGAAGATATTGTCGTTTTTCTGACTTGGAAAAGAGTTTACTTCTGCGAGATTCAAGAAGCAGTCACTTTCGCAGAGAAGCCACAACTATAAATAAACAGTTTAAAGAAACAAAAACATGGATATCTAATGTATAATTTATCAGAAAAAGTTTTTTATGGTACCGTTGTAAATCTGGCATTGTCATCTTTGTATGGAGGGTCACTTGAAATTCCCTTCTAAACATTCAAAAAATAAAATGTAAATATTACAAAAAAGTAGATATATTGTGTCTCCAAAACCACGTTTTAAAATTCACGATATCTCTCTTTAAGATTCAATACGTTTTATTAAGTACTTGTAATGTTTTGAACTATAGAAATATAAGATGAAAAACTCTCCTATAAAACCTTTGTTTACTTTTTTCACATTAGAAAATTCTTGAATATAAAAAATTATAATATTTATAAAAAATCTTACAAACAAAAGAACATTTTATTGTTTAAACACGCTGTTTACATACATTTTTACAATTTATTACACCCTGTATAATAAACTGTATCTAGTTTATTCCTGTACACCCTGTGCGTACACTAAACTGCAGTGTGTAGTGCATATACTTCCCCCTACTCAACCCTTGTACAAATACGAAGAATAATTAGTGTAGTCATTTATCTTTCATAATCATTCAGATACAGAGATATACGGATACATGGAGATTCAGATACAGGGGTACACGGATACATGGAGATTCAGATACAGGAATATACGGATACATGGAGATTAGGATACAGGCTAAACGGAAACATGGAGATTTCCAGGAGTTTCCGAGAGATTCCGATACAGAGAAATATACGGATACAAGGAGCTTTCAGTGAGATTCAGATACAGAAAAATAAACAGATACATGGAGATTTCAGTAAGATTCCGATAAAGAGAAATTATACGGACACAGGGAGATTTTAGAGGGATTCAAATACAGAGAAATATACGGATAAATGGAGATTTCAGGAAGATTTTGATACAGAAAAATATACGGATACATGGAGATTTCAGGAAGATTTTGATACAGAGAAATATACGGATACAGGGAGATTTCAGGAAGATTTCGATACAGAGAAATATACGGATACATGGAGAATTCAGGGAGATTCCGATACAGGGAAATAAACAGATACAGGGAGATTCCGATACAGAGAAATATACAGATACATGGAGAATCCAATGCAAGGAATTCTGAAACGGGGAGATTGGGATACAGAGAAGATCCGATACAAGGAGATTCTTAAACAGGGAGATTGTGATACCTGGGAGATTAGGATACAGGGAAGTTCTAATAGAGGTGCAAAACAGAGAGATTTTGATACCATGAGATTTTGAAACTGAAAGATACTGATACAGCCAAACAGAAAGATTCTGATGCAGGGAGATTACAATTCAAATATATTCTGATATAGGAAGATTCTTATGCAGGGAGATTACAATTCAGGTATAATCTGATATAGGAAGATTCTGATGCAGGGAGATTACAATTCAGGAATATTCTGATATAGAGAAATTCTGATGCAGGGAGATTACGATTCAGGAATATTCTGATATAGGACGATTCTGTTGCAGGGGGATTATGATTCAGGAATATTCTGATATAGGTAAATTCTGATACAGGGAGATTACGATTCAGGAATATTCTGATATAGGGAAATTCTGATGCAGGGAGATTACGGTTCAGGAATATTATGATATAGGGAAATTCTAATACAATAAGATTCAGAAATAGTAAAAATAGTTTGGATGGATACAGGGAGTGTTGAAAGAATACAGGGGGTGTTGAAAGAATACAGGGAGTGTTGAAAGAATACAGGGAGTGTTGAAAGAATACAGGGAGTGTTATAAGGATACAAGAAGTGTTATAAGGA